CAGCCATCATTGTTGTTTGGCGGGTCCGGGCTGGGGATTCGAACCCGCCACCTTAGGTGTACGTGGCTGGCGCCTTAGCTGGTTGAGCTATAGGCGCCGAGCCAGCATTCAGGTTTTAACAGTTAGCTTGCTCACAACCACAAATAATTTTAGGATTTCCATCATGTGTGACCATTCCAAATGTGGTATGCCTGTGACATCCTAGAAAAACAGGTTTCTGGGCTATGTTTGATAGATCATCCGGGTCCCCTTTCAGCCTCCACTCTGCTATCACAGCCAATCTGCAGCACACAGGATCCTCATAGAAATCTTCAGTCACTACAGCCATGAGGCTTAAATAGTTGCATTTAATAATAAAAACAAAGTTTTCCTACATATGTGAACATCCCTTGCCACTAGTACTTCACATGTACTACTTCTAATCCCCACAACAACTCTACAAGGTAGTTATTGTCATTCTCATCTTATAAAAGAAGAAACTGAAAGGCTGGACTCAGTGGCTCTAGCCTGTAATCCCAGCACTCTGGGAGGCCGAGGCAGGTGGATTACCTGAGCTCACAAGTTCGAGACCAGCCTGACCTAGAGCAAGACCCCGGGCATTATGGTGGGCAAGAGGATCACTTGAGCCCAAGAGTTTGAGGTTGCTGTGAGCTATGAGACCATGGCATTCTACCAAAGGTAACCAAACAAGACTCTGTCTCAGAAAAAAAAGAAGAATAATAAACTGAGACCAGGAAAAAGTTAAGGGATTTGCTGAGGCTGGAAAGCCGAGACTCAAACCCAGGCAGCACAACTCCAAACTCCAAGCTCCCTTACTTTATTTGCAACTAAATTTCAATCAATATATATGCTACTTTATAAGTCAACTTACATTTATGTACATTTTCAATATCTGCAGGGTCCTGTAGAATCTTAGTTAGGCCTTCCAAAAGAAGGGCTGCCTTATGATAGCGATATACAATATCTTCAGTCTGTTGAAACATCTCATCCAGGGCTGCAGACTGAACCTGGAACCGGCCAACAAAAACAAAACAACAAAATTCTCAATTTTCCCAAGAAAATACAAACCTGTTCGGGCAATGCATTTTTAAAGGGAGTATGTCTGACGTTAACACATTTTGATGAAATGATCTGATCTACGTAACTACACAGAACTGCTAACATCCATGAGGGCTGGTCCCTGACAAGCTATTCCACACTCAAACACTGTACCCAGAGTCACGACTCAAACCAGACACCAGAACCCTCCTAAACTGGCTCTTCCATAACTTCACTAAAAAGTTGAGACATACACTTTCATGCGAGGAAAATCCAGCATTTCACCAAAGTATGTTACAATAATGTAATTAAATGATGTTAGAAGTCACTCACTGGCTGCTCCTCCCAGTCAAAGCATTGGTGGGTGCAGTCACTCATTCACAGATACTTACTACGCACCTGCTAAGTGCCAGATGCAGCCACACAACAAAGGAGGGCATGCAGCAGGGAGGCAGGTAACTGCCTGGGAACACCGGGCTCTAACGCCCAGGGACACGTGCACTGCACCAGGAAGCACTTGTGGTACAGAACACCGAGGAGGTGCACCCAGCACAGACTATGGAAGGAGGAGAGAACAGAGGAAAGGAGGTGGGGTTTCTGCTAAATCAGAAAGGAGCAGTAGCAGTGAGTGGGTGACGGAAAAGGAGGGAAAAGGCAGAAAGAGGGGATGTAGTTTATTCACAGGGGTTTTCCCAAAAACATTCTGATTTTCTCTTTAATCATTAAATGCCAGTACTCTCAGTAATCTGGTATCCTAACTTACTTGTTAATATGCTCTGTCTCTTTCAAAAAATAATTTAAAGCAGCTTACAATACAGTAAATAGAACGGATACAGAATATCACAGCCATGAAAAGAGAGGAGAAATAAACATAAGCATTAATACCGCTGAGTTACTAAGCAGCCAGTGCAAAGGTGGAACTTTTATTAAAGTTATAAGGCTCTTATTATAAGAAAGAGAACATTCTTCCTGCCAAAATTCTAAAAATTTTATCATATGAAGTCTTAATTGAGCATTCAGTTACACAATACACATCATTGGTGTCAGCAGTTTATAGCAATATATATTATATATAATAATAGTTTAATATATAACATAAAATATGTATCACTCTTATCAACGGTTTATATTCGAAAGTTATTTAATATATTTCAAAATAAGACAAGGGTATAACATAAACCATATAATTCAAAGTAGACAAGTGGGCCAAGCACAGTGGCTCACACCTGTAAAACCAGCACTCTGGTCGGCTGAGGAGGGCGGATCGCCTGAGCTCACAAGTTTGAGACCAGCCTGAGCTAGAGCGAGATCCCATCCCTAAAAATAGCCGGGTGTTGTGTCAGGCACCTGTAGTCCCAGCTACTCGAGAGGCCGAGGCAAGAGAATTGCTTGAGCCCAAGACTCTGAGGTGGCACAAGAGAGACTCTGCCTCAAAAAAAAAAAAAAAAAAAAAAAAACAAGGCTTGGCGGCACCTGTAGCACAGTGGTTATGGCACCAGCTACACACACACAGGCTGGCGAGTTCGAACCCAGACTATGCCTGCTAAACAACAATGACAACTACAACAAAAAAACAGCCAGGTATTGTGGAAGGTACCTGTAGTCCCAGCTACCTGGGAAACTGAGACAAGAAAACCAATTAAGCACAAGAGTTCGAGGATGCTGTGAGCTGTGACACCACGACACTCTACCAAGGGCCACATAGAGACTCTGTCTCAAAAACAAAGTAAAGGGTGGTGCCTGTGGTTCAGTGGGTAGGGTGCTGGCCTCATATGTCAAGGGTGGCAGGTTTGAACCTGGCCCTGGTCAAACGGCAACAAAAAAATAGCTGGGCGTTGTGGTGGGAGCCTATAGTCCCAGCTACTCGGGAGGCTGAAGCAAGAGAATCACCTAAGCCCAAGAGCTGGAGGTTGCTGTGAGCTGTGATGCCACAGCACTCTACCAAGGGCAATAAAGTTGAGACTCTGTTTCTACCAAAAAAAAAAAAAACACAAAGTAGACAAGTGGGAGAAGGTATCTTATGTTAATGTGGTAAAAAGTAAGACTGGCTCGTCAGTTTTCCTCCACTGAACCACTTCTTTATCAGCTCCCATTTTTATCTATACTTCAGAGCAACTTTTTCCTAGTAGAGAAAAAAAACAAATAAATTAGTTCCAATATTATAACCAGACAATTGGAAAAGCAGGTTTTACTTTCTGTCCATCCTTCATTAAGGTCAGAGAAGGGAACCTAAGCACACGAGTTAAGGAATGGTTGACAAAGCAGTGTTTCTTCCTAAAACTTTTATCCAATCAGAATTTCTTTTTTTTTTTCTTTTTTTTTGAGACAGAGCCTCAAGTTGTCCCCTTGGGTAGAGTACTATGGCATCACAGCTCACAGCAACCTCCAACTCCTGGGCTCAAGCAAGCCTCCTGCCTCAGCCTCCCAAGTAGCTGGGACCACAGGTGCCCATCACAACGCCTGGCTATTTTTTTTTTTTTTTTGGTTGTAGC